GGATATCAATAGCATAGCCCAGTGGTTCTAGCCTTTGTTTGTTGAGCCTCATAAGTCTTTTCGAATCCCTATACACGTTTATTATGTACCCGGCACTATATTGCTCGAATTGAAGAATTGAATTTCTTAAATTCTTGAAATGATGTTTGTTGTGTAAAACTGCCCAAAATACCTTCAGCAGACACGTCAAGTTGTGAGACGCCTCGACTAACGCTTAGTCTATAAATATACGTAATTTTGATATTAACAAAGAATTCTATTCCATTTGAAAAGGAGCCCCAATAAGATGGGAGATTCAGAACCTGTATACGTCTAAATTTGCTTCATTTAGAGCTTTAGTATTGCAGAAAGGGCTGGACGGAAGGGAGATGGAGATATTGTAGTTACGTCTTAAGTTTAAGTAAAACATGTCTTAAAAGAAGAATATAATCTCAGCTTATTACCTCCCTTTCTGGACGGACCTTGTGGTTGTAAAATAATGAGGTTCAGGGACTGTGAGACTATGAGAGGCCCCGCACCCTGAGTAAACACATCCCGTGTCCCGAATAAATACGCACGTTAGAAACACATTTGAAGAAACGCCCAATGTTCTCAAGAAGAAGAAGAAGAGGATGATGACGATGATGATGTTATATTTTATCACTATTTATCTTCTATAAGTGGCTTGTACGGACATTGCAATTGGCACTTTAACCGTTCGGTTACATCAGTTATATCGATGTATTTATCATCTAATGTGCTGTTCACTGTAGACTACCCTTTTGATGTATTTGTTATATACTGTGCTGTCCACTTTAACCACTAGACTACCCTTAAGAAATCAGAAACCAATCAACTAATTTACAAACAGGAATATAATCAGTTAAAAAATACCTATGAAACATACAATATTATATATTTACAGATGGATCCAAGGATGGTGGCGCAGTTGCTAGTGCCACTGTCATTGGATCCAGAACAGTTTCTTCTAGATTGAAAAAACAACAGCTCCATCTTTACAACCGAAGCAAACGCCATTTATATGCTCTTAAGTATATCAATAAACAATCTAAATATAAACAATACATATTTTTTCAGGTTCTCTTTCTTGTCTTTAGACCATTATCAATATATCATATAAACATACACTTTTAATTGACTAGCAAGATGATCTGGCTACTGGCCAATATTACATCGCCTTTTGTTGGTTGCCCAGCCATGTTGGAATCACTGGTAACTCAGTGGCCGATTCTGCTGCAAAGGCCGCTCTCAACAAATCTGTGACACCACTTCTGATACCTTACAGTGACTATAAACCTGTTATAAGAAGTTACATCCGGGATCTTATGCAGAAGAAGTGGGACACCCAAGTAGGCATCAATAGATTACATGCAATAAAACCAACTGTCGGTTACACCTACTTAACTTATCAGTCCAGATTTGAAGAGGTCATTCTAAGACGATGCCGTATTGGACATTCTCGATACACCCATGAGTATTTCTTAAAGGTGGGGATCCTTCGTTTTGCATTCCTTGTGATGAAAGAATCGCGGTCAAGCATGTCCTGCTTGACTGTATTGATTTTTCCATCACAAGGAATAAGTATTTCAATGTAAAAACGATGAAGGAACTTTCTATTAATGTATATTGAGTTTTTAAAAGAAATTGAATTAATTGATAAAATGTATTGTAATTAGAATATGAATTTTTAATTTGTGAGAATGAATGGATGACTTTGACTGTATGTGGCATTACCTTCAAAGGGGGTTGAAGTAGCGTAAAATTATTGTCCCCCTGAGAAGGTATGTAAGTCCCATTTCATTCAAAGTTTTTTTCATACCACGTGTTCTTAATCGTGGAATATGTGTTACTTTAATGTACGACGTCGTCTAATTTTGACTACAATCGCCATGCAGGTAGCAAAGGTACTGTAAGTCCCCATGGTCCCTAGTATGGTGATCTACCATCAGTTGTTGGTGATCAATAGCCTGTTTCTATATTGTATTGTCTTTCATAGTTAAGATGTTTTAGATTGTCATACTAGTTTTACATTTATACTGATATTCTAGTTATTTTACTGTTCTTGGCCGACAGGTTTATAACTTACCATGATTTATTATGACATAACTTGCTTTTAGTCACGAAATGGCTGAAATATTGCCGATGTGACTTAAAATCTTAACTCACTCACTCACTAACCATTTGACTACCGTTTCGATGCATTTGTTATATACTGTTCGATGTATATGTTGTATAATGTGCTGTACACCTTAATCACACGACTGACCCGTGAAGATCCTGGTTAGAATATTGATCTTCAGTAACGAATGCTTGTCGTAAGAGACGACTAACGGGATCGGGTGGTCAGGCTCGCTGACTTGGTTGACACATGTCATCGGTTCCCAATTCCGTAGATCGATGCTCATGCTGCTGATAACTAGACTGTCTGGTCAAGACTCGATTATTTACAGACCGCCGACATACAGCTGGAATATTGCTGGGTGTGGCGTAAAACTAAACTCACTCACTTAATCACTAGATTACCATTTCGATGTATATGTGATTTAATGTGTTGTGTTCTACACAAATATGAACCACTAGTGTACCCTTTCTTTGTATTTGTTTAATAATGGGTTATGCATAAAAAGTCGTTTTCGGACGTTGTAATTTTATAATATGACCGTCATTCTACCTAAAGATCACATCTAAGGGGGGAACCCTTAGATTTGAACAAAGCATGAAAACAGATATGAACACTTTGCTAAATCCTCATGAGAAACGATTTTGATGCTAGCTGTAACGTCAGATATTACACGTCTAGATAACAGGTAGAAGTATCACACCTGTCGGTCTCTTGTGGACCCGTCGACCTCGTTAATGACGTAACTAATTATCAGCTGAGATGACCGTCGGTTCAACCAGAGGCTGACTTCCATTCTGCCTACAGCCCCAATCTGCCTACTGAACTAAAACAATGTGATACGAAAGGATGCTCAAAAGGCGCACGTGAGTGTCGTGTCAAAATTGTTGTCTGACTCCACAATCAGCAATATTCTGGCTAGTAACTACATGGCGTCGGTCTGGATATAATCGAGCATAAACCAGACAATCCAGTGATTGCAACTGGGATACGATAACATGTGACATTGAGCGCCCGATCCCTATATGTCGCGGGTTGTTAGAGACCAATTATTCTAACGCGGATCTTCTGGTGGTCGCGTCAAACAATCCGGCTGAATTACTGACATGTGCTGTTGTTCTGACATAGTTGAGTCGTTCTCGTCGGGTAACGCCAAACACGTAACACGCTGTTATTCATGTAGTAAGAGTTTCAATCCGAGACTAAGTTACAATCGGATGCATTGTTAATTCAAATCAGGGTCACTGTGCCCACTGTCTGTTTACTTGAGCTAAACACGAGTGCTCATCATTCACTAGTAAATGAGCCCAACACAGCTGGTGTTTACCTAGTCTTTCTCACGGTCCCTGAACCACATTATTTTCCCTACTGCCTAGCCCTCCCTAATGCTTAGGTTATAAATGAAGCAAGTCTAGATTTCCCCAGTTTCAGGATTTCTCACTGGGGCTCCTTTTCAATTCAAATGGGTTTATTTGTTACTATCAAAATTATATATATTCAGAGACTAAGCGTTAGTCTAGTGTTTGGCCATAGAGATATGTCCCCGGGCTACTGCCGACAAGCTGTTAGTGCTGGGACACGGTGTGATATTTATAAGCCGTGACGTTAGAAGCAGAGAGTTGAGTTAACGTGGATTATATTTAGCAGTGTTTCATGTCTAGATTACGTATGCAGCCAGATTGTTGCGTAATTCCTTAGAAACAACAAACCTTAATTGGGCGTTTTGCCAACAATTTCTGGTGTGTTTAACTCAGATCCAGTTGGTACAACCGTACCCTTCCTTAAATAAGGCAAGTACCGTTGAGTCGAAGTTGCCTGCGTAAATACTTCAAGTTAAACTATGTTCGACACAACTGACAAATAAATGAATAAAAAAGGAAATTGCGTTCTTTCGAGACAAACGTGAGTTCGACACAACACTGTTTGACAGTAACTGGGCCATCAATTGACTAACATCTGCACTATCCTTGTATTGCTGGGGACCATATATACAACGCGATACTGACATAAACAAAGCGGTCTTTCAAAATGGCGTGACGTTGATGTTTTACCCGTTTTACAACAACTTGCTCGTATTTTTACATAAAATGATTTTACCTTTTGTTTAGCTCAAACATCTAGTAACATTTAGAGCTCCGGCGTTATTGACTGTACATATAGCCTTGTACATCGTTTGAAAACTTTTTTGAAAGGGACCGTACATAATTTATGGCTAGGGTGAGTGATGATGATATTTATGGAGAAGCATGTACAATGTGAATGACCCCCAATTTATGTGCAAAATAAGTGCCCCCGCCTGCATGTCATGTTCAAAATCAATGACCCCTTCCCATAATTTCTAGCATAATTTTAAACATAATTTTATGCACAAAGCTGCTGCGCCCCCATAGTACGTGTGTACGAAATTGCTGCCCCCCAGTACGTGTGTACGAAATTGCTGATACCCCACCCCCACCCCAGAACAAAATGGGTCACTTCCCCCTATCCATAAATTATGAACGATCCCTAAGTATAGTAACATTTCATATTTTATGGGGTTTTAATATCTCTCATAAATCGCTCCGAGATTGGTCGTTTGTATTAATTGTATCATATTTTATCTACTATTTGTACAGTTTTTATAAGAGTGAGATGTAAATAAAGATGTAAATTCTGTCCATCTGTCTGTCTGTGAGTGAGACAAGCTGGATTGAACAGCATTTCAGATATATCACGGTATGTCAGCTTATAGTGAGAGGAAAGATTGTACCAGTCGCTGTATAGTTGTTGGTTTTGTTATGCTGAAACTCGTCATTAAAAAACAACAACAAAAAATCAAGAAAGGCGTTTGACACGCCCCCCGTTTATCCAGTTTCCGAGCAGGTTGCTGCTTTGGTCTACGTCATCACTTCATACGCTGACATTGCTCAACCTTTTGCACACGGCCCTCGTCTCTCAAGCGAATTCGCGGAAGACACAGCCTCCCAGTCGCTCTCATTGGATCTAAGCTCAACTTGATTATCCAGGTAAGCTAAACTTGTCGAGACTTTTAAACAAGTTGATAGTTCAAACGAAAACAAATAATTTGTCATTAACATTTCGTATATCGCGAAAACTCACCGTCGGGCTGACATATATTTTGTACAAAACCCACTCAGCGCAGCCCACAGATTCTTCCCATATACCGTGAACCCGTTATAACACGGGATGTAAACAACACGGGGAATAGGTCTTCCGCGCGCGGTCAAACTGTAACTTACTGTTGTTTAGCTGTATCTAGGCAAATCATCTTAGCGAGACGTCACTTTCCGTCATTATCTAAATTTGTCCATCTCAGGTATACACGACTGTAATTCACTTGGGCGAGGTTGTTAAACATGGCGAACATGCTCGTCCTGATAGATACATTATACCGTCTCTGTTGTGAGATATAGGACAAGGATGTTTGTTCCCTACCTATTTACTTTATACAGACAAACTGACAGATTTTTCCATACGTATGTTGCATTATTAATTGTCATCGAATTTGGTTGAGTTTTACAACGAGCATATAAATTTTATTGTTATAAGTGATAATTAATGTAGTTTAGTACAGATTTGTTATGTTAGTATAATATATTGGCATCTTAACTGATTTATATCCATCAATGAACACATAAATAACTGTTGACTTGTGTATCGGGTGTATAAATTAAATCTACATCTCCTTCTTGTTCTGGTTTGCTTTTCAAAACTTGCGATATGTCACTAATTTATTTGTTAGTAAGTGTTTGACTCTAAACCTGTTACTTTGGTGAGCGTAGCCATAACGCCAAACAGCCGAGATATATTGAGCCCTGGTTCGTCATTGCGACCAAAAATAGCTGTCGCTTCACGTCATGTCAACATTAAATCTAGACCAATTTGTCTCCGATAGTGCATGCCAACTAGAGACCATATACCGGTATATGGTCTCTGATGCCAACAAAATTAATTGAATCTAAAAAAAACCTGTATTATCAGATTCGTTTTGGATCCACACGTCATAAAATCTTAATATAAGCCAGTTTACGAAAATCCACCACAAACCACTCACCCCTGACCCCTGACCCCAGAACAAGGATTAATGTAAAATCTGTGCCTGTCGTTAACAGTAGTAGTAGTAGTATCCCTGACTCAATCAATCAATCAAAACGTTATAAGTGTTACCCCTGGCAGGTTTAAGATTGTGGAACAATGTTACTAGTCTGTGATATTTCCAATAGCATAAAATGATATACAATATTTGTAAAACTGTGTCCGTTTTCTCCATCTTAATATATTTACTCATTGTCCCAGTATCAAGACTTGAACCACCAGTTTAAAAAAATAAGTGTCACGTAGTTTTATTAAAGTGTTATCGTCGAGAAACTGTCACTCTCATATCATATAATGCTAATTTTCGCTGAAGGCGATGTTAGTATACTCTGTTAAACAGCTAGAAGACTTCCTGAATGTAATGGGTTTTCTCCTCAATATGAAAGACCTTTGTGTTGAGTTGTAAACACTATCGAACAAATGCTTATGTAAGTTTCAACCGTGACGCGTGTCATACTTGGCTGGTTCTCAAAAAACGCCTTCAAACAACACACAATAGAGACACTTGCAAGGACCTTTCAATGGCGAATTGAAAAGACTTCGAGTGTTGGAAAGCGGCCAAGAACACGAAATCATTAAACATCCTTTAATACTCCTATTTTCCCCGTGTCTAGACGCTATGTCGAACTACACACGCACTGCTTGTAGAGAGGTCTTACAGAGCAAGTAGGTGTTGAGTTCGTAGGTTTTGAGGGCGGTTGGGTAGCCCAGTGGTTATAGCGTTGGCCCGTCACGCCGAAGACCCGTGTTCGTTTCACCACACGGGTACAATGTGTGAAGCCCTGATATTGCTGGAATATTTCTAAAAGCGATGTAAAACAATACTCACTCACTCATAGGTGTTGAGTATGACAGTTCTCTCACCGTCTGATATATGACATACCCGTGTTGCGAAGGTCGTCGTCAGCGCGACATTAGAGTTTAGACGCCGTAGCAATATTGAGGGGACACCAGAAATGGGCTTAACACATTGTGCATGTGGGAATCGAACCGGGTCTTCGGCGTGACGAGAAGCTTTAAAACTTAGGACATTTAGAGTGTAATTTATTCGTTACACTGCATAGCACTGCATACCAGTGTAACGAATAATACTGAGCCTAAGTTTACTTAGACTGGGTTTAAAGACGCCTAGTGAGTTTACGCCGTTTAGTGAAGGAGTGAATATAGAAATACTAAACTATGTCCCATGTAATACCATATTTATGAAACGAGTGAATAAGATACCAATACCATTCACGAGTTTCATAAATATGGTATTACACCGTATTTATTACTCACCCAACATTAGCAAAATAATATCGAGCAAAGTACTTCTTTCCTAAGAATTCAGCGAGTGTGATGACTCTCAGCTTTCCGCGGGTCAAGCAAGGTCTAATACTATTGTGACAGAGGTATTAGCATTGTGACGTCATAACTGTAAACCACTTTGACGTCATACGTACGGCATCACGCGATGTTATTACACAATGTGTAATAACATAGTAAAATTATTAAACAGTGATAATAAATAGTCTTACGCCACTTTTAGCAATGTTCCAACAGTATCACGGCGGGGGCAACCAGAAATGCACACATAATACCCGCGTGGGGAATCGAACTTGGGTCTTCGGCGTGACTGGGCTACTCCACCGCCTCCGTGAAAGCAGGTAATGCAGGTCTCAAACGTTCATCACTTTGGTGAAATCCAAGATAACGGTTATGACAGGTGGGGCGTGGTCCTGTGGGTAGAGCTCAGGTCACAAATCAGCTGAAGTTGAGCAACGTTGGGCGCGGAGGGCAGGATATCTAGCCTGGAAAAGGCGCGTTATAAATATTCTCATTATTATTAAACCTGGAAATATAAATCGGGCGAACCGGGTTTCCAATCCACAATCCTGGGATTCTGATGTGACCAAGGGCCGCAACTCTGTATTTCTTTTTCATAATGAAAATAAACTCCACACAGGAAATTATATTATTCCCCTATTGTCGTGATTGATTTGTTTGGATGACAATGAGCAATTGATTACAGTAATCTGTGGTGTGGCATCACCCACCCAAAGGTTGTTATTAACACGGTACTTGGCAACGCCAGTGATTACTAATTACGTTATTTTGTAACTCGTCGAAGTGATGTTGATATGCAATGGACCAGTACAGGTTTCAATTACATCACTGAAAGCCTGCAGAGTGAAGCAGTTATCACTGTTTTGTCGTGTCAACCGAATCTGACCAAATGCACTAAAATGCAATCAATAACACAAGTAGGTTCCATTGTTACAATATTCATGTTGAACATCTGCGACCTCCATCATTCCGAACATTTGTTCGACATTAAGCTGATACTCTGTGATATAACTGAAATACTATTCAGTGTTCAAACCGAACTCGTCCCGTGAAGGTCCGGGTTAGAATTAATCTACAGTAACCCATGCTTGTCGTAAGAGGCGACTAACGGTATCGGGTGGTCAGGCTCACTGACTTTGTTGACACATGTCATCGTATCTTAATTGCGTAGATCGATGTTCATGATGTTGATCACTGGATTGTCTGGTCCAGACTCGATTATTTACAGACCGCCGCCATATAGCTGGAATATTGCTGAGTGCGCCGTAGAACTAAACTCACTAACTCAAACCAAACTCACTTCCCCATTTCAGTAGTACAAGCGAGTGAATAAAGGCGGACGTCGCTTTTAGCAACATCCCCGCGTGGGTGAGTGAGTGGGTGAGTGAGGGTTTACGCCACTTTTATCAATAATCCATTAATATCACGGGGACACCTGAAATGGGCTTCACACATTGTACCCATGTGGGAAATCGAACCCGGGTCTTCGGCGTGACGAGCAAACTCTTTAACCACTAAGCTTCCCCACCAGTTTGACCAGCACCCCATTCGGGCAGGGAGAAAACAAGGCTTCTCAAGTTGTATCCAATATTATATATTTGGGCTCGAACCCAGTACCGCTGGTCACTTGTCGCAATACTATAGTACGGAGACTGCCTTACTGCAAGTGACGAATGAGCTTCGTTGTGCGAACGTCTAACAGTACGGACTTGAAGGTCATGCCCTTCAATGGGTGACGTCTTATCTGTCTGACCTCTTCAGCAAGGCATCGCCATGTATTACGATAAGCTTCAGAAGCTTTCAGCAAGCTGTGTATGATGGCTTTAAGATCCTCTGTTTAATGCTCCCTCCTAGCTACATCCTGGTTATGTTCGTAAGCACCGTGCCCATGCTCATAGCACCGTGCCCCATCCTCGATAATCTCCAGGGTATATCTCCACTATAGTGGAGAGTGATCGTAACGTATACCCTGGAGATTATCGAGGATGACCGTGCCCATGCTCATAGGTTTCACCAAAGCTCCAAAAGCTGCTTCTCTTCAGGATTTCCTTCCACAATAGTGAGTGAGTTTAGTCTTACGTCGCTTTTAGCAGTATTCCAGCAAAATCACGTCGGGGGACACCAGAAATGGGCTTCGCACGTTGTACCCATGTAGGGAATCGAACCCTGGGCCTTCGGCGTGACGAGCTAACACTTCAAGAGCTATAATAGGCAAGCCCACCGTCCCCATTCCACAAGCCGGCGCGCAATGTAACTATTTGTAGTCCTTGAACCGCATTTTTCGCCTTCCACCCCGTCCTTTCTGCAATGCTAAAGACCTCCATGAAGCATGTCTAGATTTCAACAGGTTCAGGAATCTCCCATCTCATTGGGGCTCCTTGTCAATTTAAATGGATGTATTTTATACTATCAAAATAGATCTATTCAGAGACTAAGCGTTAGTCTTGGCATCTGACAGCTTGACGTGTTTACTGGTGGTAGTGTTCATGCTGTTGATCACTGGAATATTGCTGAGTGCGGTGTGGAGAAACCAACCAACCGACTGAGGTGTATTTACAGTGCTGAATATTTACAGAAAGCATCA